CTTATGTATGTGTCTTTATAATAGAATGATTTATAATCCTTTGGGTATATACCCAGTAATGGGATTGCTGGGTCAAATGGAGTTTCTATTTCTAGATCCTTCAGGAATCACTACATTGTCTTCCATAATGGTTGAACTAATTTATACTCCCACCAACAGTGTAAAAGTATTCCTTTTTCTCCACATCCTGTCCAGCATCTGTTGTCTCCAGAGTTTTTAATGATCTTCATCCTAACTAATGTGAGATGGTATCTCAATGTGGTTTTGATTTGCATTTCTCTAATGACTAATGATGATGAGCATTTTTTCATATGTTTGTTGGCTACATATATGTCTTCTTTTGAAAAGTGTCTGTTCATATCCTTCACCCACTTTTGAATGGATTTTTTTTTTTCTTGTAAATCTGCTTTAATTCTTTGTAGATTCTGGATATTAGCCCTTTGTCATATGGGTAGATTGCAAAAATTTTTTCCCATTCTCTTGGTTGCCAGTTCACTCTAATGATTGTTTCTTTGCTGTGCAGAAGCTTTTAAGTTTAATTATATCCTATTTGTCTATTTTGGCTTTTGTTGCCACTGCTTTTTGTGTTTTAGTCATGAAGTCCTTGCCTGTGCTTATGTCCAGAATTGTGTTGTCTAGGTTATCTTCTAGGGTTTTTGTAGTGTTAGTTCTTATGTTTAAATCTTTAATCCATCTGGAGTTAATTTTTGTATAAGGTGTAAGGAAGTGGTCCAGTTTCAGCTTCCTGCATATGGCTAGCCAGTTTTCCCAGCACCATTTATTAAACAGAGAATCAAAGATCAGATGGTTGTAGATGTGTGGCATTGCTTCTGAGGCCTCTGTTCTGCTCCATTGGTCTATATCTCTGTTTTGGTACCAGTACCATGCTGTTTTGATTACTGTAGCCTTGTAGTATAGTTTGAAGTCAGACAGTGTGATGCCTCCAGCTTTCTTCTTTTTGCTTGGGATTGTTTTGGCTATGCAGCTCTCTTTTGGTTCCATATGAAGTTTAAAGTGTTTTTTCCAGTTATTTGAAGAAGGTCAGTGGTAGCTTGATGGGGATAGCATTGAATCTATAAATTACTTTGGGCAGTATGGCCATTTTCATGATATTGATTCTTCCTAACCATGAACATGGAATGTTTTTCCATCTGTTTGTGTCCTCTCTGATTTCCTTTATCAGTGGTTTGTAGTTCTCCTTGAGGAACTCTTTTACATCCTTTGTTATTTGTATTCCTAGCTATTTTATTCTCTTTGTAGCAATTGTAAATGGGAGTTTGCTCATGATAGGGCTCTCTGTTTGTTTGCTGTTGGTGTATAGGAATGCTTGTGATTTCTGCACACTGATTTTGTATCCTGAAATTTTCCCAAAGTTGCTTATTAGCTTAAGGAGGTTTTGGGCTGAGACGATGGAGTCTTCTAAATATACAATCATGTTGTCTGCAAATAGGGACAATTTGACTTCTTCTTTTCCTAATTGAATGCCCTTTATTTCTTTTTCTTGCCTAATTGCTCTGGCTAGAATTTCCAATACTATATTGAATAGGAGTGGTGAGAGAGGGCATCCTTGTCTAGTGTGTTTTTAAAGGGACTGCTTCTAGTTTTTGCCCATTCAGTATGATATTGGCTGTGGGTTTGTGGTAAATAGCTTTTACTATTTTGAGATATGCTCCATCAATACCTAGTTTATTGAGAGTTTTTAGCATAAAGGGCTGTTGAATTTTGTCAAAGGCCTTCTCTGCATCTATTGAGATAATCATATGTTTTTTGTCTTTGGTTCTGTTTATGTGGTGGATTACATTTATAGATTTGCATATGTTGAACCAGCCTTGCATCCCCGGGAGGAAGCCTACTTGATCATGGTGAATAGGCTTTTTGATGTGCTATTGGATTTGGTTTGCCAGTATTTAATTGAAGATTTTTGTATCAATGTTCATCATGGATATTGGCCTACTGTTTTCTTTTTTAGTTGTATCTCTGCTGGATTTTGATATCAGGATGATGTTGGTCTCATAGAAAGAGGGAGGATTCCTTCTTTTTGTATTGTTTGGAATAGTTTCACAAGGAATGATACCAGCTCCTCTTTGTACATCTGGTGTGAACCTGTTTCAACCTGGACTTTTTTTGGTTGTTAAGCTATTAATTGCTGCCTCAACTTCAGACCTTGTCATTGGTCTATTCAGTGTTTCAACTTCTTCCTGGCTTAGTCTTGGGAGTGTGCAAGTGTCCAGGAATTTATCCATCTCTTCCAGATTTACTGGTTTATGTTCATAGAGCTGTTTGTAGTAATCTCTGATGGTATTTTGTATTTCTGTGGAATCAGTGGTGATATCCCCTTTATCATTTTTTATTGCATCTATTTGATTCTTCTCTCTTTTCTTTTTTATTAGTCTAGGTAGCAGTCTGCCTATTTTGTTAATCTTTTCAAAAAACCAGCTCCTGGATTTATTGATTTTTTGAAGGGTTTTTATGTCTCTATCTCCTTCAGTTCTGCTCTGATCTTAGTTATTTCTTGTCTTCTGCTTGCTTTTGAGTTTTTTTGATCTTGCTCCTCTATCTCTTTCAATTTTGGTGATAGGGTGTCGATTTTAGATATTTTCTTGTTTCTCATGTTAGCATTTATTGCTATAAATTTCCCTCTAGACACTGCTTTAAATGTGTCCCATAGGTCCTGGTGTGTTGTGTCTTCATTCTCGTTGGTTTCAAAGTACATTTTTATTTCTAACTTCATTTCATTTTTTATCCATTCATTGTTTAGGAGCAAGTTGTTCAGTTTCCATGTGATTGTGTGTTTTTGAGTGCTTTTCTTAATCCTAAGTTCTAATTTGATTGCGCTGTGGTCTGAGAGACTGTTTGTTATGATTTCTGTTCTTTTGCATTTGCTGAGGAGTGATTTACTTCCAATTATGTGATCAATTTTAGAGTAAGTGCAATGTGCTGCTGAGAAGAATGTGTATTCTGTGGATTTGGGGTGGAGTGTTCTGTAGGTCTGTTAGGTCTGCTTGGTCCAGATCTGCATTCAAGTCCTGGATATCATTGTTGACTTTGTGTCTCGTTGATCTGTCCAGTATTGTCAGTGGAGTATTAAAGTCTCCCACTGTTATTGTGTGGAAGTCTTAGTCTCTTTGTAGTTCGCTAAGAACTTGCTTTATATATCTGGGTGCTCCTGCATTGGGTGCATATATATTTAGAATAGTTAGCTCTTCTTGTTGCATTGATCCTTTTACCATTATGTAATATCCTTTTGTCTCTTTTGATCTTTGTTGGTTTAAAGTCCATTTTATCAGAGACTAGGATTGCTACCCCTGCTTTTTTTGCTCTCCATTTGCTTGCTAAATCTTCTTCCATCCTTTTATTTTAAGTCTATGTGAGACTTCGCGTGTGAGGTGGGTCTCCTGAATACAGCACACTGATGGGTCTTGACTTTTTATCCCATTTTCCAGTCTGTGTCTTTTGATTGGGGCATTTAGGCCATTTACGTTCAACATTAATATTGTTATGTTTGAATTTGATCTTGCCATTTTGTTACTGGCTGGTTGTTTTGCCTGATAGTTGATGTGGTTTCTTCACTGCATTGTTGTTCTTTACCATTTGGTATGTTTTTGCAGTGGCTGGCACTGGTTGTTTCTTTCTATGTTTAGTACTTCCTTCAGTAGCTCTTAAAAGGCAGGTCTTGTAGTGATGAAATCTCTCTGTAATTACTTTTCTGTAAAGGATTTTATTTATCCTTCACTTATGAAACTTAATTTGGCTGGATATGAAGCTCTAGGTTGAAAGTTCTTTTCTTTAAGGATGTTGAATATTGGCCCCCACTCCTATCTAGCTTGTAGGGTTTCTGCTGAGAGATCTACTATGAGTCTCATGGTCTTTCCTTTGTGGGTGACTTGACCTTTCTCTCTGGCTGCCCTTAGGATTTTTTCTTTCATTTCAACCCTGATGAATCTGACAATTATGTGCCTTGGAGTTGCTCTTCTTGAGGAATATCTTTGTGGTGTTCTCTGTATTTCCTGGATTTGAATGTTGGCCTGCCTTGTTAGGTTGGGGAAGTTCTCTTGGATAATATCCTGAAGAGTGTACTTGGATTCATTCTCCCTGTCACATTCAGGTACACCGATCAAGCATAGATTAGGTCTTTACACATAATCCCATAGTTCTTGGAGGCTTTGTTCATTTTTTTTTCACTCTTTTTTCTCTAATCTTGCCTTCTCATTTTATTTTATTGATTTGATCTTCTATCGCTGATATCTTTTCTTCTGCTTGATCGATTTGGCTGTTGAAACTTGTGTGTGCCTTGTGAAGTTCCCGTGTTGTGTTTTTCAGCTCCAAGTCATTTATGTTCTTCTCTAAGCTGGTTATTCTAGTTAGCATTTCATCTAACCTGTTTTCAAATTTCTTAGTTTCTTTGCATTGGGTTAGAACATGGTCTTTTAACTCAGAGAAGTTTGTTATTATCCACCTTTTGAAGCCTGCTTCTGTCAGTTTGTCAAACTCATTCTCTGTCTTGTTTTGTTCCCTTGATGGTGAGGAGTTGTGATCACTGGGAAGAGAAGAGGTGTTCTGGTCTTTGATGGTTTCATCCTTTTTGCACTGGTTTCTTCCCATCTTTGTGGGTTTATCTCCCTTTGATCTTTGAAGTTGGTGATTTTGGGAGGATTCTCTGAGTGGATGTCCTTTCTGTTGAGGTGGGAGCTATATTTTTTGGCCTGTAGAGGCACTACTGGGCTGTCTTGGATTCAGTCAGGTTGCTGGGTAGGTGGTCCTTCCCTGGAGTTTGTTTGCAGGTGAGATTAGCCCCACCTTCCCAATGGCATCTTTTCTTCCCTGAGATTGATCTTCCCATTTGGGGTCAGACTGGTGTATTTGCTGCCAAGCTCTCTAGTGTGCAGGCTTCAGTTTGAGTTTTGTGGTGGTGGGGACTGCCAGGCCTTATAGCCTGTTTCCCTGCTTTCAACTTCTGCCTCTTTCTATGTGACAGGTCGTCCTGCTGGTGTTAGTCCAAACTTCTGCCAACAACTTGCAGCACCTGGTTGGAGTCATCGCTCAGATTTGCATCAACAACCCATAGCACCCCTCAGTCTCACAGGGCTCTCGTGGACCGTGGATTGCAGGAGGAATGAGGTAAGCACAAGATCAGAATCGGAGCACCTAGGGAGTGACGTCCCTGACCCTGACCCTCCGAGCCAGCTGCATGTTCCTTTCTGGCCTTTTCCTAAGTTATAAATAGCCGCTGGAATGGAGAGGGAGATGTCTAAAAGAAAGTTTATTCATTATAGTGAATAAATACATTTGTCAGTGTTGGGGTGTTTCAGAGGAGATGAAAGAAATTTGAATTTTCCCAGTGTTACTTGGAAATGTATCTGTTTTTAGCAACCACACAAGGTAATTGTCATATACAATAAAGTTTGAGTGAACTAAAATTTTAGGAACTTTAGCAACTAATTATGACTCAAGAGAAGTAGGAAACTACAAGAAGATTTCCACCCATATATGCGTTTGGTTTTGGCTTAATATATCTGGGCATGTGTGTAGATTGCATGATGCTTAGGAAAGGATATAGTGTGAGCTTATTGTGTGTATTTATTACTTGAGAATGGTTATGCATATGCAAGTATGTTGGCCATTTTCTGTTGAACTTTAAAAATACTGATAGCAAAATGCTCTCTATGATTTTAGGAAATATAATTATCAAGGGGTTCTGTGAAACAAAGGCATAACTTCTTTAAAGACACCTCAAACATGTTTTTCATTTTTCTTGCTACTTTATTCTATGTGTAAAGGAAAAATGTCCAGAATGAGGAACATAAATGGTTCGTCATTAAAGAGAAAGTACATCTAATTATATCATCTTCTGGAACTTTTCTTTTTAAAACTCGTTTCCAAGTTGGGATAAAGAGAAATGATCAGTTGCTTTCTATTTTTATCAGAAGTTGGAAACTTTTTTTTTGAGAATCTCAGGACAAAAAGAAATGTAAGCTCACTAGCATTATTTTATTGAAGGTTTGAAGAAGAAATGCAGAAAAACAGAGTTTGTACATGAGTGATTTTAATTGACTAACAGTGTTAAATACTGCACCAGAAAGGCCTAGGGACAATCTGCTAATAGCAAAAAGATAACCCAAATCTAAAAAGTACTGTCTTTTTATTGGACAAAGTAAAATAAAATTTTGTAACACATTTTGACGTTCCATGTGACTCTATAGAAGAATTTTTTTAAGTCTTAGAGGCCAAGCTTTAAGAAACCAAAAGTTCATGTAGTCTTTTCATCTTAACTAGAGTGGTAGCTTCACTCTTTTCTTTGGTCTATTTATTTAAATGTAAGTTTCCATTCAACACAAGATTTTAAGTGAGCAATTTGTGGAAGTGTTTTTGGGTTTAATTATCAGTTTACAGAGTTTCCACTAGTGGTAAATATTTATACCATACTGAGTGTGTTGAATTAAGGCTTACTGTTAAAGAGAGGGAAGAATTAAATTACCAAAATATTACTCAGTTTGTTCCACCTGCAAAGTGCACTGATTTACTTAATCTTACTCTGTCAGTTTTAAAAGCATGATTATAATTGCAAATGCTAAAGTATCACTTGTCCAAATGACGAGATTGTTGTTAAAGATGAAAGAAGAAAAAAAAGATGACATTTAGAAAAAATAAATCTATTTATTGTTCTACCTCATTTTGCTTTTTTCAGAAGTACTGGAAAATATTATACAGATCAAAGGAAATAAAAAATACACAAACCTGCTGAAAATATCAGAGTCAAAAGTCTCAAAAAGAGAAAAAAAAAAGAAAAGAAGGTTGTAAATTAAACAAATCAGATAAAAAATTTAATGAAACCCCAATACCAGTTAAAAGGAGTAAGAGAAAGCAGATAACCTATCCAGATCTATTCAGTGGGAGCCACAAGAAAGCTTTGCTTTGTGTCTTACCAGTAAGACACAAGTTTATCTATTGGTTCTTAGCAAATGTATATAACACTCTACCATTTTGGGGGACTAGAGTTGGCTCCTTATGCAAAATACTGGCACACACCACCTGTGTGATGCTAGATAAGTCACTGAGAAGCACGTCAAACATGTCCTTGTGCCGTTGTCTCTGTTGGATTTCTCAGTCATGTTTCCACCATGCACCACAAAAAAAGTCTCCTTGCTTGTGATACCTAGTTTGTTGGAGGGAAGGGTAACCACAGTAGTATGTCACGTAGGTTCTTAGTCAAGTCAAGGAAATTTTTGAACTTTCTTTGATTTCAAAGGTGAAACCAACTTCTGCGCTAGACCGGTTTACAGTAGAAGATTAGAGTTTCAGTGAGAATTGGAAATATTAAAGGAAAGCAAGTCTGTTCCATTTTGTTGCCAATTGAGACAAAATAGTCAAAATGATGACAAATGTAATATGCATATGGAAGTTACTATGAGAATTAAATGACTTAGTGCATATAAAGACACTAGTTTTATGCTTGGAAAATAGTAAATACTTGCTATTATGGTTCAAGTATATGATTAGTTAAATGGATTTTTGTGGGTCAGAGAACCCAACCATACATAACAAAGGATTCTCAAAAGTAAAATTTTAGGGCTGGGTATGGTGGCTCATGCCTGTAATCCCAGTACTTTGGGAGGCTGAGGTGGGTGGATCACCCGAGGTCAGGAGTTTGAGACCAGCCTGACCCTGTCTCTACTGAAAATACAAAAATTAGGTTGGGTGTGGTGGTTTACCTCTGTAATCCCAGCACTTTGGGAGGCTGAGACAAGCAGATCACTTGGGGTCAGGAGTTCAAGACCAGCCCTGTACAACATGGTGAAACACCATTGTTATTAAAAACATAAAAATTAGCCAGGCGTGGTGGTATGCACCTGCAATCCCAGCCACTCAGTAGGCTGAGGCAGGAGAATTGTTTGAACCCAGGAGGTAGAGGTTGCAGTGAGCCAAGATCGTGTCACTGTGCTTCAGCCTGGGCAACAGAGTGAGACTCTATCTTAAAAAAAAATACAAAAATTAGCTGGGTATGGTGGCTTGAGCCTGTAGTCACAGCTACTTGAGAGGCTGGGACAGGAGAATTGCTTGAACCTGGGAGGCGGAGGTTGCGGTGAGCCAAGATTGTGCCACACACTCCAGTCTGCGTGACAGAGTGAGACTTCATCTTAAAAAAAAAAAAAAAAGCACATAACAAGATTATAACTGGGGCCACTGAATCAACTTTGAGGTCTTACTATTTTTCAACATTGCTGAAAAAAAGCCTTCAGGATAGCAATCGTGTTGTTTCTGAGAGACAGCAGGCTTTAGCAGAAAAAGCCCTATCTTTGGTATCAGACAGATGTGAGTTAACATCTCAGTTCTGCCACTTACTAGCTGGGTGACCTTGGTCATGTTGCTTTGATTCATCTTCAGTTTTTTAATCTGTGAAATACAGCTTGTGATGAGCAGGAAACTGGCATGCTTTGTGTGATTTTAGGCACACATAAGGTGCTTAACATATGTGCATATCCTCAGGTTCTCATTCTCTTAATATGATCTATCACTTAAGAGTATTTAGGTTTGTGCAGGAAAAAAATTGCTTATCAACGTACATAGCAATGCAGATTAGTCCTATGCTAAAGAGATATTTTATATTCCAAGTATAATTTAGTTTCTTTCATATCCTTGTTACCAATTTTCTTTTTGATCTTCCACTTAGCTAAGTGCATTATACTTTAGAATTCCTTCAAATTAGTCTTTGTTTAACAGCAATAGATTTTTAGCTTTGTCAAATATTCTTGGCTTTCAAAGTAGAATTCTCTTTCATAGATAATAAAATAATCAAATCTGAGATCCATAAAATATTTTTCCCCAATTTGGTTAAATAAAGTTGAAAACAAGGACTCCAATTTTTTTTTTCATAAGGGAAGCAACATATGGTCTTCTGTGTCCTCAACTTCAGCAGTCCCACTGTTGGGTAAACTTCACATAGTTCTATTTGCTTTTGAAAGGTTAATAACAGAGGTCTATCCAGAGGTTGACTCTCTCTCTACCCTTTTACCTTCTAGAGTGGTAGCACAAAAACTTTTTGATCATGTATCACAACGGTAAAATAAGAAAATTTGAGCTTTTACTTTTTTGGGTAAATATATATATTTATATGTTCTGTATGGTCCATCAGCACATACCATACTACATATTATGCACATTATAAGATGTATCCTAAAACAGGAATAAAGAAGATTGAGAGAAAGATGAACTAAATTATATATTTAAAAATATTTTGGTAAGTCATGATGATTTCAGACTATTATAATATTCTACTTTTTCATGGCATAATATATACATGGGGTGACTTTTATCAGAAATGATTGAGGATACAAATTGGTATTTTGAATTGCCTCCCTAAGACTTTTGACTGATGTGAGCTGACTTTTTGTCAAACCTGTTTATATTATCATTGTTTTGTGTAGTGGCATACTGACACGAAGTTTGTACTTAAAGAAGGAGTTAGTGTCAACTCTGCCATTTCCTGTTAGTCACTTCTACTTCCATTATTAGAATTTTGTTTGTGGTTTTGTTGCAGGAATCTTTTAGTGGCTTACCTATTAAAGTTAATTTCAATAGATAATACTCTTAAATCCTCTTAATTAGTCACACACTAAGTGCACCATGTCACCATGAATTAGAAATAAGCCAGTGAGGGATAACGCTCGATCAACCTCTCCCATATGTGGAACTTCACTCTTGACTTTAGGACATCTCACCCAGAGTAGGTAAATGTAGCCCTCTGATTGGTAGACAAGCAGGGAATATCCTGGTCAGTCCATGTATCAAATACTTGTAAAGTGCAATTTCTTGTTTGTTCTAGGAGAAAAGATAAGTAGAAATAGAACTGCCAATATTTCGTTTCACATTTTAGCTGGTCACCTCTTCAGACCCTGCATTGAATTTGAGAGACACCCTTTCAAGAGCATGGGTCAGTAAATCTTTTCTGTGAAGGGGAAGATACTAAATATTTTCAGCTTTGTGAGCCAGATAGTCTTGTTGCAAGTCTTCAGCTCAACCACTGTAATGCCAAAACATCTATAGACAATAGAAAAGTAAATGAGTGTGGCCATGTTCCAATAAAATTTCATTCACAAAAACAGGCATTTGGTCAGATTCAA